CCCACAAACCATCCGCAGGAACGAGGCCACACTCGATCGAGTGGTGAACTCGCCCCAACGGACGGTCCCCAAAACAGCAGGGACTGCCCCGCAGTCCAATGCACAGAAATGTAAAAATTGAAATTAACCAAATAGATTATAAATTAAATAACTAAAGAAGAATTTAAAATTATGATCATGTGGCAGTCCTGCTGCTCCAATATTTCTTTCTGAACTCCTTAAGGGAGACTGAATTGCGTGTTTCTAAATCTAAAGAATTCCACAGTAATGAGCCAGTAACCCTAAGTGATTTCTTRTGAGCATTTGGAATATATAAATTGTCATTTATAGAACTACGTGTATTTCTATTATGAACGTCTTTGACATAACAGAACATGTCATTCATGTATTGAGGAGCTAAGTTTACTTAGACGTCTTTGACATAACAGAACATGTCATTCATGTATTGAGGAGCTAAGTTTACTTAGACTAATTTACTTAGACTTTGCTTTTTTTTCGATCTTTCCGCGCGTTTGTTATTTTATAAAACAAATCAAAAACAGTTTTCTGTGTTTGATACTCTGATCAAAACACTTGGGATGTTGGGAGAACACTCGAGAAGCTGGAAACCACTCCGCTACGCGTCGTGGTTTCCTACGCTCCTCTCGTGTTCTCCCAACATCCCGCGTGTTTTGATCAGAGTATCAAACACGGAAAACTGTTTTTGATCTGTTAAATTAATGATAATAATAATAATAATAGTAAGCTGAACTTTTCTCATGTTAAAAGAAATGATGACATTGGATATTCAATATGTTTATAATAATGACAAGCTGAGCTTTTGATATGCATAAGATAAATGATAATGTTGGAAGGGGGAAAAACGCCATAGAAAAATTCCTGTAAAGCGTAAGAAATAGTTTAGTTGTCGTTTGGACTGAAAAGTGATTTGTCGCATAGAAAAGGGACATTCTACAGTGATTAAATTCGTTTTATAACTCACTTTCAAATTTCTCATTGAGACACATTCAACATCGAGATACAGTCATCAGATCAATGTTATGTTCATCACAAATAACGATATAAACTTCCCATTTCAGTTTAATTATAGTGGCAATTCTTCTCAGCAAATTATAAGTGGACGAATCATCACACTTGGAGTGGGTTATTATAACGCGTCGAATATGATAGTACACACTTGTGTATTATTAAAGATGCAGGGTGAAATAAAATGTAAGTATAACAAACGAATCTAACTTGTATGTTGCACATATATAGCACTGCACAATTTTTGTAAGTCTGTTTTAGAGAGCTATCAAAAAAATGGGCCTTAAAGAAAATTCTAATATTTTCTTATAACTAAAAACTGTAGGTCCGTTCTCGCTGTCACTACCAACTGCAGCACCTTCCAGAACAGAACCACCCTTTTCGTCAGCTACAGTTGAAAGTAGTTTATCAACCTCTACCAGAAGTGCCAACAATCCAAATGTACATACAACCAGCGGCGGCCCTTCTACAACTATTATCTCAACCGCGACGAAGGTTAGTATCTGGATTTCAGTACTCACTACGAGAGGACCTCTGATGATATCATGTTTTATTCACCTCGTTTTAAGAATCGATCCATAACAGCGCCTCAACAGACATCAGCACCGATGGTAATCAAAACCAGTGCTAAACATTCAAGCTCCAATGGCCGCAGTGGTTTGATTGCAGGCGTATTTGCTGGAGCAATTGGCTTACTTGTGTTAGTTATTGCCATTATACTCGTGAGAAGACGAAAGAAAAGGTATGGCCATATTAAATAGTTTGGTTTCGAAATTCTTGCAACTTTATATGAACTTTGCTAACATTTCTTATTAATAAAATCTAGGGAAACTGTCGCAAAGAAGTCAGGTGTAGTTGCAGGTAAGTTCAGATACACTTAATGGATATAATATTTCATTCCCATTTGCATCTTATATTATGATTAAATCCA